TATTAACCATAATAGGATTTTTTTATTAATAAAAACACCCTTAATCAGTTAAGTGTGTTTGACGACTATATCCGTTATAGTTAAAATACTACGACTCGTGGAAAGGACTTATTTATCAACAGGTTTTAAACTATTAACAAAACATCAACGGTAAATAAGGAAAAAATTATATGATTAAATATTTATTTTAATACATTAAGCAATCATCCTTTAGCTAGATTGTTTTTAATTAATACTATCGAGATAAAAAAATAAAGAATTATAACTATTAGATGCACGAAGATGTTACTTTTTCAAAGGTATTGACAAGGTTAGCTGATGAAAACCGGTCCAAATTATCTGTTTTTGAGCGGTTAGGATTGAAATCTTTTTTTAATTAAAAATTTTCGTAGTCCACGGAAGAACGCGCTGAACTCGCCTTAGGCCGACTATCCTTATAATTTATTAAATATATTTTTAAATTTTAACTATACTTGAATCGTTAAAGATATCACTTTTGTTTTTAACTAACTAAAAAATTTAGTCCATAATATATTAACAATACATGAATCTTGTCATTAAACTTTGAATTAAAAACTATAATGATGTGTGATATCTTGTTGTGATTTTTCTTTTTCACGTGAAATTTCAAACGATAAAATAAAACAAAAAAAAATTTTTAAATTTGAAATGAATTTTTTTATTCAAATGATTTACCATTTATCAAACATACAATGATGTTCAAACCTATTTAGACAATGATATATATAAAAAAATAAATATATCTCGTATTTAAAAATTAAATGATTGATTTACGACTGAAAACAAAAAAGATACTATTGCGGAATTCGAACTGCGAACTTGGCGCGCGTCACATTTATTCTTAGTTTATATATTTTTTAACGTTTTGTTTTTTTTCTATTTTATTACAACGTAAAAAATAATTCGAAAACTTTTATTATATAATACGATTTTTAAAAAGTTAAATAAATATCTTAAAAATTTTATAAATGGAATTTTAAATGCATTTCTCAAATGATTATCTCAACAAAAAAACGCCCTTTTCAAGAATCGAACCTGGCTCGGTGCACGGCATTAATTAATGCAT